CCGGAGGTTGGCAGCACTGGGGGAGGCAGGGACAGGGTGGGTTTAACTAGAGGGAATTAGAAGAAGCAAGAAGAAAAATGGAAATTAAAATAAAAGAAGACTAAAGGTAGAGTCTATGAGAAATGGTGGAAAACAGAAATGAGAAGAGTGACAGGAACATATCCCTGACAGGGGAACCAGCCGGGGACAGCAAGAGGAGAAGGGATAAAATCAGGGGAAAGAAGGGAGCAGCCATGGGGGATGATCTGTGACAGGGAGGGGAGGGGAGGGGAGTGGGAGAGACACAGGAAAATAAACAGGGATCGGAAGTGAGAGTTAGAAAAACAAGTAGAAAAGGACAGTATGAATAGAAAGGGAACATGACAGGGATAGAGATTTATTAGAAGTTACTGAAAGTGACACTGTGACCCATTAATTCCCTATATTCATTCCTGGATGACTGTACTGTTGTGCCATTAAGAAAACTGTTCTCAGTAGCTGGGGAATCTCCTTGCCATGCTGTGGTTATTAAGGCTCCTTCTTGGCTCTGTTTACTTACTACCTTTAGTTACTTACTGTAAATAAAACATGACAAACAATTCTTCATGTTTGTTCCACTTTACTGTCCCAGCTGCAGGTGCTGGGGGCAGAGTCCTGGGATTTGCTTTCTGACTTGGTTGTGTCCCCCCAGCATCCAGGGAATATCGTGTCCCTCAGATGAGAATTGGGATTTTACTGCGTGATGCGTCACTCTGCAGCCTGTGCTCTGTCTCTGTCCTATACACACCTGTAGTGGTTTAAAACAGCCCAGGAGAGGGCTGTGACTGGGAGCAAGTAGTTCCCAGGCTGATTGGGGAAGCAGGCTTAGCTGTGGCCATGCCCCAATCAGGGCTCAGCTGGCCCTTATAAGAGGGCAGTGGGCCAAGAGCAGACAGTCTCTCTCTCCCTGTAGAGAGGGCAACGCAATACAACTCAACTCAGGAGCTCACAGGGTACCTAGAGTGGAGCAGGGCTGGGGAAAGGCCAGAGGAGCTCTGGCCTAGAAGCCCTGCAGGCCTTGTTAAAGGCCCAGAAGGGTAGTGAGGTTGCAGAGGGCAGCCCAGGGGTAGGCCAAGGCAGCAGGTCCAAAAAAACCCTTTGGCCTTTACAGACTGCAATCTGCCCCAGTGAATGGGGGCTAGATGGTGACTGGCAGTAGCCAAAGACTGAGGTGAGGTGGGGATAGGGAGTTCCCTGGGAAGGGGAGACCCAGAGACTGGGAAAGAGGCACCAGGGGCTGGGGGGACAACAGCAAGTAAAGGACATTGGCCTGCAGTAGGTGCTCTGATGTCTGGTGAGCTAATTCCTGAGATGACCAGCAGGGGTGCCGCAGGGGTGAGTCCTGCCCTGCTACAACACGTGTGTCAATCTGGAATTGCTCAGTTGCGCTCTGCGGAGAGGTGACTGGTTGCACAGGAGGCAATCCATGAAGGGACTCAGGTGTTGCAATTCTGAGCATCACAGTGAGTAACTTTTAAGCAGCGAGACAATCACAGGGACAGCAGCACTGTGACCCTCAGAGCTGAGTCAAGTGCCTAAACTCCCTAGACAGTGCATGGGCAACACAGGCACCTTACAATGCGATTCACAAAAGCCATGTAAGCTAGCCAATGGGAGATGCCAACAAGGGGGGAAGGGGTGTCCTAAGCCACACCCCTCTCATGGATAGGTGCCTAAATCTGGGCTGCAGAGGGGTGTGTGTCTCTGCTTAGCAACCCACAAACAGGAACCCACCACCTGACATCCGGGGCTTCCAGTCGCAGCTGCTCCCAGTACCTGGTGGTGGCGGCTGGGAGCCCCAGGCCCTTTGAAATAGCCCCAGCAGGCTGCAGGGCTCCTAGGCTGGGAGCAGCCTGGGACCAAACCCTCCCCCTGCAGCCCAGCTGTGGCTGGAGGTGTGTGTGTGTGGGGTCTCTCTCTACTTCCCTCGGAGCGGGACCCGCCCGTGGGGCAGGGGCTGGGCTGGGCAGGGGCCCTGGCCAGGCTGAGGGCTCTGCCCTCGGAGAGGCTCCTGGGCAAAGGCCTTGCTGGCTGTGGTTGTGTTACAGAGTCACCTGCCCCACTAGGGCCCAGGCTGGGATCCCAGCACATTCCACACAGGCCCCTGAGTCACCATCAGATGGACTTTCAGCCTCGGTCTGTGTGGTGGTGGTGGTGGTGGGGGGGGGGCACTGGGTTACTGCCCTGGGGGAGCTGCTGGGGGAGGGAGGAGACTTACCTGCTCAAAGACAATTTTAAGTTAAAAAGTTGAAGATTTATAAATCTCAGTGTCTAGTGTCATTAAATATTTCTGGTCTGACCAAAATATTGTCTGATTCCCGCCCCCCCGCATAATTTCCCACAACTGAGAAAATTTAAATTGGAATGAAATGCTAAAACCCCAGACTTTTGTGCAAGTGTGAAAGTTTAAATCAATAAATATAAATAATTGCTTAAAATAAACATTCTGTCAAAATTAAATATTATAAAAAAATTCTGCTCAGTATATCACTCCTTAGACACACAGCTCCTGCTCCTGCAGGCTCATCCTCACAGGCGGATGCCTCAGTGACCCTCCCCACCGGCACAGGGACTGATTGCAGGACCAGAGCCCTAGTATATTTTTTCACTAAAGCCTCCAGGGGTGAAATTGGTTGGGTCCTTCCTGCTCAGCAAACAGCACGAGTCAGTTTCAGGAAAGGAAACACCCCCTTATTGCTGCAGGCGGGGCATAGTGTGAACTCAGGAAATTGAAACTAACCCTGTTCCACTGCCCAGAGGGAGCCATGGCTGCAGAAAACCCCATAGAAAGTCTCCAGGAGGAAGCTACATGTCCCGTCTGTCTGGAGTATTTCACAGAACCTGTCACTCTGGAGTGTGGGCACAATTTCTGCCGAGCCTGCATCAGCCAGTGCTGGGAGGGATCCGACACAGCCGCTTCCTGCCCTCAGTGCAGAGAAACTGTGCAACAGAGAAACCTCAGGCCCAACAGGCAGCTGGCAAATGTCCTAGAAATCGCCAAGCGGCTGAGTTTACAGGCAGCAAAGGGAGCAGGAGGGGACGGGGTGTGTGGGGAACACCAGGAGGCTCTGAAACTGTTCTGTGAAGAGGATGAAACCCCCATTTGTGTGGTGTGCGACAGATCCCGGGCTCATCGCACTCACACGGTGGTTCCGATACAGGAAGCCGCCCAGGAGTACAAGGTACCGAGTTGCTGTCCAGTCTAATGGGTAATAACTTTGGATGTTAATTACAGGTTAATGGTGTAACTGTGTCATTCAGCTGTGTGTAGCCTTCATTGCATGAAAGCTGATAGGGGAGTTACAAGCTGTGGCTGGTATTACTGGTTGTATCACAGTGTTTGTTATTTGCATCCCCTACAGACCACAGACGAGAGCTGACCTCGATTGTGGGAGGGTCTTGCACAAAACCCAGTGAGGGCCAATCCCTGCCCCGAGCCATTTACAGTCCAACTGGACAAGACAGACAAAAGGTGGGAGGGGAAACTGAGGCACAGTGAGGGGATGTGACTTGTCTAAGGTGACTCAGCAGATCAGTGGCAGAGCTGCATATAAAAAACCTGCTTTTCCAAGGCCCAGTTCAGTGCCCTAACCACTAGCTACTCTGCCCCTTTCAGCAGCACTGAGCAGTGATGAAGTGCAGACAGTAGGAGGAAAAGACTCCTTGATACAGGCCCCAGGCCCAGCTGGGAGACGAGGTTTCCTACTGGGATTGTGAATTCCTGTGCTGCTCCATGAAGGGTTAAACTCAAATGCTGCCGGCTTGCACTAGAGATCACTGTGCTAAATGCCCTGTGGGACCTCAAGCACCTTGAGTGCACACCTACAAGGGCTCCGGACAGCGCAGCTCCATGCCACATGCCACTTGGATTACACTTATTTTCAGCAAAACGAACCCCTGGGCAGTGCGGACCTATGTCAGTCTGACCTGTTCTCATGTGTTCATGGGTAAGGACCAGCCAAAGTGGTTCCATTAGTCACACCAGGCAGCCTTTTGAAATCTGCCAGAATCCACTGCTTCTGGGGTCTTTGCTAGGGACTTTGGGGTAGCTACCCAGAGGCCATTGCTACAGAAAGGGGCTAGAACAGTGCTAGGGCAAACTCCAGCTGTTCCTAACACAAATCAACACATCTAATGGGGTTTGCCCTTGTCCTTAGTTCAGTGCTGTCCAACCAGTCCCACCCACAGGGGTACAGGGCTGAAAGTCAATGGAGTTGGACTCCTTTGAGCATCCCGGCCTATATGGCTGCCCCCAGTGGCTTCTGGGATTGATATCACTGTTTCTGAAATCTGCTCAAAAGCATCTTTATAAATTCACCACCATGTGACACCAGTTTCCTGCCGGTTTAAATCGATGGTGAAAGTGGACATAATAACTCAACTCTGAATATAAAACACTCCCAGTTTCCATAAATAAGGTTTCATTTCCTTGGTGTCTCTGATGTCCTACCTCTAGAAAGACCCACTGTTGTGCACAGTATTGTTGTAACTGTGTTGGTCCCGGGCTATTAGAGAGACAAGGGAGGTGAAGTAATATCTGCTCATGGCCAGCTTCTGTGGGTGAATGACAAGCTTTCAAGCTTACACTGAGCTCTTCTTTAGGCCTAGGAAAGAGTATGTTCCCCAGAGCTGAGTTGTGTGTAACTCTCTAACCAACCGGAGCTGGGCCAGCGGAAGATATTGCCTTACCCACCTAGTCTATCTAGGAAGACTGACCGTTACCTTGAATTTTGGGTGGAAAAACACCTCACCCACCCCCTACAATCCTCAAAATAAACCCACCAAATCATTTCTGTTTGTCAGGAAAAAATACAAGCCCATTTGAAGACTCTGAGGGAAGAGAGAGAAAAGCTGCTGGGATTTAAAGTGACTGGAGAGAAGAGAAGCCAGGAATATCTGGTAGGTGCCTATTTTTCTTTGCCTGCTGGGACATGGAGGTGGGAGGGGTGTGTGTGTGTGCGCCATTTCATTAGGGTGTACACTCACAGAGCTGTGCCCTAGCCCTGCCCCCATCCACTTCCTCCTACTTCCCCCCTCAAAACTCCCAACCCCTCCTGCTCCTTGTTCCCTGAGTGCCCCCCAGGACCCTACCTGTCCCCTCACTGCCCCGACCCTTATCCACACCCCCACCCCCTGACAGGACCCCCAGAACTCCCGACCCATCTAATTCCCCCTGCTCCCTGCCTCCCCCAACCCCTCTCCATACCCCTGCCTCCTGACAGCCCCCCCAGAACTCCCAACTCATCCAACCCCCCAGCTCCTTGTCCCCTGACTCTCCCTCCAGAGACCCCCACACCCTAACTGCCCCCCAGGACCCTCCTTACTCCCTGTCCCCTGACAGACCCCGGGACTCCCATGCCGCATCCAACCCTCCCTGTCCCCTGACAGACCCCGGGACTCCCATGCCGCATCCAACCCTCCCTGTCCCCTGACT